ATTTCAAAAGGCTGACCGAAAAAGAAATGCAGGATAAGAGAGCAAAGGGGTTGTGCTTCAGGTGCGATGAGAAGTACATGCCGGGGCATAGATGCAAGGACCGATCTCTTCAGGTTCTCCTCGTTTGTGAAGACGAGGAAGACGAAGAGGGAGGTGGGAATGACCCCGAGGTGGAGGAGGAGGAGAAGTTGCATCTGGACATAACAGAAGTCTCTTTGAACTCAGTAGCGGGATTCACTTCGAGTCACGCTATGAAGGTGAAAGGAGAGATCTCTGACCGTGAGGTGGTGGTGTTGATAGATAGTGGAGCAACACACAATTTCATTTCCACTCAGATTGTTGATGCATTGGGGATGGAGCTAGTGGATAACGGAGGTTACGGGGTAATGATGGGCACCGGGAAGGTGGAGATGGGACGAGGAGTCTGTCGAGGAGTAGTACTGAAGATTCAAGGGATCCATGTAAAGGAATACTTCCTTCCCTTGGAATTGGGGAGTACGGATGTCATCCTTGGGATGAAATGGCTGCAGACACTAGGAGAGACCAAAATCAACTGGGGTACACTGAGAATGGAGTTGGTGGTTGGGTGTAGAGAGAGGATAATTCAGGGTGACTCTGGACTGACCAAGGCAGGGGTTTCTCTCAAATCCCTCATCAGAACCATTCGAGAAGAAGGGGGAGGCTACTTAGTAGAATTGCACCGCCTGGAAGGGGTCAGATTGGAGGAAGAAGGCAATGTTCCCTCTGCAGTACAGCTGCTCATATACCAGTTCAGCGAGGTCTTTCACCCGCCCCAGGGTTTACCTCCTCAGAGAGAGTTGGAGCATGCTATTACTTTGAAAGAAGGTGAGACCCCGATCAACATCCGTCCTTACCGCTATCCACAGATTCAGAAAGATGAGATTGAAAAGCTGATCCGGAAAATGCTGGAGGCGAAGATTATCAGACCCAGCAACGGCCCTTTTTTCTAGCCCAGTCCTCCTGGTCAAGAAGAAGGATGGGAGTTGGAGATTTTGTTTGGATTACAGGGCTCTGAATAAGGGCACTATACCAGACAAGTTCCCAATTCCTATGATTGATGAGCTGCTAGACGAGCTACATGGTGCAGTGATGTTTTCTAAGCTGGATTTAAAATCCAGATACCACCAGATCAAAATGAGGGAGGCAGATGTTCCAAAGACAGCGTTCAGGACACATGAAGGGCATTATGAATTTCTGGTAATGCCATTTGGTTTGACTAACGCTCCTGCAACCTTTCAATCCTTGATGAATCGGGTATTCAAGCCGCACCTCAGGAAGTTCGTCCTGATCTTTTTTGATGACATCCTCATGTCCAGCAAGACTGTGGAGGAGCACTTGAAACATTTGAAAGTGGTATTGGAAGTGCTTCAGGAGCGCCAGTAGAAAGCCAACCTGAAGAAGTGCAGTTTTGCTCATGCAAGTGTGGAATACTTGGGACGTGGTATCTCAAGAAGAAGTGGCAGCGGATCAAACTAAAATTGAAGCAATGCAGAAATGGCCGCTACCTAGGAACCTCAGGGAATTGAGGGGTTTTCTAGGATTGACTGGTTACTACAGAAAGTTTGTGAAGAGATACAGTACCATTGACTGGCCGTTGACTGAACAGCTGAAGAAGGGCAATTTTTGCTGGGGAGAGGCAACCACCCAGGCGTTCGATAGGTTAAAGGAAGCTATGACGACTGTTCCTGTTCTAGCCCTTCCAGACTTTGGTCAGGCATTTGTGGTAGAGACCGACGCGTCAGGATATGGGTTGGGAGAAGTGTTGATACAAAACCACAGGCCTGTTTGAATTTAAATATGAATCCAAATTTTCGGATTGTGGTTTGGCATCTCCAGATTTTTATGGTTGGTACCCTGGAAATGAATTCACTCTGGTTCGTGATAGACCTGTGATCTCGGTTGCTTCTCGTGGAAGATTACGTGGGAGGGGCCGGAGAAGAAGATAATTTTTTTATATTCTGTTATTGTTGCCTTTTTCTATTTATGTGGGATTATTTTACTGGGTTTTTTTTGTCTTTTTGGAGATGCGATGGATTATGGATTATGATGTGGCTGAGGCTCGTGTCCTCGTCGTCTTGCTGGTGGAAACCTTTGGTGATATTCCTCGAGTTGGTGGGTTTCTGGGGGCTTTATTCGCCTTACTGGATGGTCCGTGTGAGACTTCGGGGATGCTGGGAGCCTCGGCTGATTACTGAGTCCTGATTTGATTGTATTTTGTCTTTTAAAGGAAGCTATGACGACGGTTCCTGTTCTAGCCCTTCCAGACTTTGGTCAGGCATTTGTGGTAGAGACCGACGCGTCAGGATATGGGTTGGGAGCAGTGTTGATACAAAACCACAGGCCTGTAGCAAACTTCAGTCAAGTGCTATCAACCAGGGCAAGACTGAAATCAGTGTACGAGAGAGAGCTGATGGCGATTGTCTTGACCATTCAAAAGTGGCTCCCCTACCTTTTGGGGAGACATTTCATTGTCCGTACTGATCAGAAGAGTTTAAAGTATCTACTGGAGCAGCGAATGGTGACTGAGGAGCATTAGAGGTGGCTCTTCAAATTGTTGGGCTACGACTTCGAGATCCAGTACAAGTCAGGTTTGGAAAATAAAGTAGCTGACGCCCTATCCAGATGTGTTGGGGAGCTCCAGGAGCTAGCTCTGTCAGTACCATTGATGGTTGATTGGGGGGCCATCAAGGAAGAAAGCAAGCTAGATGAAAAAATTGGGGAAGATCAGGGAGGACCTACAGAAAGACAAGAGTAGCCATCTGGGCTACTGCATTGAGGGGGAGAGATTATTATATCAAGGGAGGTTTGTGATGCCACGAACTTCCGTACATATCCCCCACCTGTTGCAGGAGTTCCATAGCAGTGCAGTTGGAAGCCATTCAGAAGTCCAGAAGACATATAGGAGGCTAGCAGCGGAGCTCTATTGGAAGGGCATGCAGAAAGATGTGGAAGAGTTGGTGGCAAGGTGTGAGGTGTGCCAAAGAAATAAATATATGGCGATGGCACCAGGAGGGCTACTCCAACCCTTGGAACTTCCAAACAAAGCTTGGGAGGAAGTGTCCATGGACTTCATTGACGGCCTACCTCGCTCAAAGGGATTCACAGCCATTTTGGTAGTGGTGGACCGCCTCAGTAAGTATGCCCATTTCGTCCTCCTGCGACACCCGTACATCGCGGTCTTAGTGGAAGCAGCATTTATTAGAGAAGTGGTGCGATTACACGAATTCCTTGCTTCAATTGTGTCAGATAGAGACAAAGTTTTTCTCAGTCAGTTCTAAAATGAACTCTTTCGAATGCAGGGCACTGTTCTCAAAAGGAGTACCGCCTACCATCCATAGATAGACGGACAGACAGAGGTGGTAAATCAGAGCTTGGAAACCTATTTGAGGTGTTTCGCTTCGGAAACACCACGTAAGTGGGCCAAATGGTTACCTTGGGCAGAATACTGGTATAATACTTCGTATCACTCAGCATCCCAAATGACCCCTTTCAAGGTACTTTATGAAAGAGACCCCCCACAGTTAGTGCATTACGGAAAGGGAAACACACCGATCTTTTCAGTAGAGCAATACTTAGAAGAAAGAGATCAGGTGCTGGAGGAGTTAAAGAATAATTTGGGAAGAGCACAACAAATCATGAAGAAGCGAGCATATACACACAGGAGAGACATACAATTTGAAGTGGGAGAGAAGGTATTTCTGAAGCTAAGACCCTACGTATATGCTCATTTCATATCCTGTCTCTAAGAGTAAAATCACTCATCCACCTGAGCAGTCTCATCTCTGCAACACTTAACTTAATATTATTCTTCTTTTGTAATGGCCAACATTTTGCACCATACAACACTGTAGGTCTCATCACCATCTTATATAATTCTCCCTTAAGTTTGAGAGGGACTTTTATATCACATAACAAGCCTAATACATTCCACCACTTCAACCATCCATCTTGAATTCTACTAATAATATCTCTATCTATTTCACCATCACTCTGAACAATAAATCCAAGATATTTAAAACATGTACTATTATTAATGACTTGATCTCCCAAAGTCACAATACACCAACTAGATCTATTATTACTAAAATCATACTATATATATTCAATTTTAGATCTACTCAAATGAAAACCTTTAAACTCTACGATTGAATTCCATAATATAAGTTTACCTTCAACTCCCTCTCTAGCTTATCAACAAGAAGAATATCATCAGCAAAAAGCATACACCATTGTAGAACCTCCTGCAAATGTCTAGTGAGAACATCCATGATTAAAGCAAAAAAATATGTGCTTAAGGTTGATCCTTGATGTAATCCAACTGAAATAGGAAAATACTTGATCCAACTACCTTATGTTTGAACACAAGTAACACCTACTACATATATATCCTTAATGACTTTAATATAAGCATTATTAACCTCATAATAAGAAATATAATGATGTTGTAAATGTTAACAAAAGTGTTTAAGAGTAATGAATTTGACTATCATGATTTGAATACATCCAAAATGGTCACACAAATCAAATAGAAGAAATTGCATGAGTTGGTGAACCTTTCAAAATTAGTAGGACTATCAGATCTAATGCTTCTACTTTAGATTTTTTCTCCTAATAATATTTATTAGTCTCATTTTTAATATTGAAAATATACTCTTGTCAAGGAGTGTTCAAACCTCAAACATTGCCTGTAACTCTTCTACACGAGGAATGCCTACTACAGTTGCTGGTTCCACATATCTCATTATTACAGTTACATCAACCTATATGGATGTTAAAAGTACCATTTCAAATGAAGAGATACTTGGGAAAAGGTTGATCGTAGGTTTCTATACAAATCATGTCTGTTTTTGGGGCTATGGGTAGAGCAATATAGCAATTTTCAATTGTCGATTGTACCTCAAAAGTGCAACTATTTTAAAAGATGCAAGCATAGTAAAAAAACAGAAACGTTGGATTAACCACCTGAAGTTCTATGGTGCATAAAATAACTTTCAAGCACCTCCATAAGCTAAGCCACTACTTTAAAACTTTGCTAGAGTAGAAGACTAGTTAGAAAACACCTAAAAGCATTCTTAAAACTGGATTCCAGAATTACATCTCCACATGCTTTATGCAGCAAAGGGTGTTTTTTTATCTTGTTATTATTTCAATAATTGGACTGTTTAGATTAAAAAAAATTAAGAAAAGACGGAGCAACTTTTTTATAAATCCATCGACGTTTGAAGGAAATTGCAGTAAATTACCAACCTTGTCAGGTGACTAAATACATAAAAAATGATACACCCAGCATCAAATTCAGTTTCTCTATAGAAACAGCAACCACTTGTTGAAAGACAGATAAAGAATATGGCAATTCTCTCTATTCTGTTCTTCAAGAAATCATGGCCCTCTCAGAATCCATGAAGTACATCGTTGCACAAACTTTTCATTTAGGCAATTAAAACAGGTACTGGTTTGCAAATTTAGCATAGGATAGAGCTTCTAATGCGTTCATTTGGAGACAAATACCCTTAGATCTTCAACTTGCCGCTAAAGTTCATGCAAAGGGCTTTTTTTTCATATAGGAGCTTGGAAGTTGAGAAAACTCTATTCCCAAAAGGAGTTCAGGCATTAGCCTCACATAAAGTGGATGGAACTAAGGCTTCATTTGGACGGCTTTCTTACCGCTTCTTAAAGCAGTGTTTTAGTAAAAAATTAAAAAATTTATACTATAAAGCAGCTTTAAGAAGTGGTAAATAAGCCGTCCCAAACAAAGCCTAAATCTCACAACTCGCCTTCAGATGAGTGTGAAGCAAATTTAGAAGGCCCAAGGTTACTTCCAACGGCAGTGCTTTTTTTTCATCTGTAGCACTCAGTTGAGAGGAAGTGAATGAATACGGAGGATTAATAAAGCAGACCCCAAGCAATTAGGATAAGGCTGATGATGATGATGATGATTCTTTGTTTTCAGCTATAGAAAATAATCATTAAACGGTCAACCGATTATCCAAATCAGGACAAGGCCTTCCAATAAGCGACACAAACCTATCTTGGAACTTCAACAGAGGACACTTCTCTATTAAATTACAACCATCATAAGCTTCTTTAAGAAATACCGTGCTCCTAGCCCCCTTATTCGTAATATAGAAAATTCCATGATTCTTAACCAAGCAAAGTAGCAGCTTACAGGGTAGCTGGTATTCATTATGGAATGCATCCAGCTTATTTGAAGGCAGCCTTTTCTCCGTTGTCAAGCTTAGAAGCTCATGAAGCACCGCAACAGCTCGTTTCCTGGCTTGAGGAGTGGCCGGCTCGATCCTTCTGGCGCTCAAATACGGCGAAGGAAATGCCATTTTCTGCCATTTCTGAACTTCCTCAATATAATGCACATTGGGTCTAAAACCGGGGGCATAATTTATCTTAAAAGCATGAGGTCCTGGAAAATTGCCATCTCTTGCTACTGCTTTTTTAGATTCCACTTTCAACGTTCCAAGATCCAAACTTTCTTCCCGGACAGTGACAGCCAGAGTGGAATCCCAGCTCTCGAGATTAAGATACTCCAAACCGTTCACACTTTTTATGGAGAAGAAATCCGGGTACTTGGGAATCAGGCATTCTCTAAAATTTTCTGGCAAACCCAGCTCGGATTGGATCAATTCGATCTTCTGTAAAGGAATGCGGCAATCGAGAGACATCATAAGTATCTTACGGAGGTGGCGGACCAAGATGGGTTCCATTAACTGCTGGACTCGAGCCTCATCGGAAGAGATGCGTTCAGCCTTATCAGTGAGGCGTACGGAGATGGGGGAGCATGAGGCGCCGCCGCCTAATACTTTAAAAATGGTGGGGTGTTTCTCGATGAGGGAGACAAAGTTCCATTTTTTTACGAAGCCGACCTCTTTCTCAAGGTCACGGAGGAGAAGGGAACGCGATTTCTGGGTGCAGATGATGGAACGGAGGCGGAGGAGGAGAGCGGGCTTCTTTTGGAGGTCCATGACCTTGTCCAGGTCGGGAACGCGGTGATAGATCTTCTTTTTGGGGCGGCGGCCGACGCTAGAGGAGTAGAAGAAGATAGAAGAGGAGAAGGCGAGGTATGGGAGAAGGGTTTTGGGGCGACAGGCATGAGGCTTTAGGAGCATAGAACCGAGAGTGTGTCGAGTGCCGTTGAGCCTTCGGAGAAATGCTGCCGGTGGGAAATTTGGCTGTGTTCATTTCGAATGAAATTATTCTTTATAATAAGATAAAATATAATCTTTAAAGGTATTATGAAAGTATATATTCATCTTAGAGTTAAAAAGTTTCATCTTGGCTCCTTCATATAAGCAAAGGTTAGCATTCATATTTTGATAGTTATATAAATTTAAATGTAATCTTCTATTCATAAGACTTCGTTTGGAGCAGTTTTCTTGTTGTTTCTTAAAATGATTTTTTTTTACAAAAAATTTAAATTTTATACTAAAAAATCGTTTTAAGAAGCAGTAAAAATCATCCCAAATGAGGCCTAAGGAGAAACGTAGGTTTAAAACAATATTTGAATAGTATATTCAATGTTTGATTATTGCTTGAATAAAATTAAGAAATCTAATTCAAATCTAAGATTTAACCATTCGATTCGAAATTATGTTTGGAGTAGACCTCAAACTAGGTAACATATGTTAGATTTTGAACATGGAGTTCTCCTTTAATATTCTTTATATTACATAACATAATTGAATTCATTCTTATGTGTCTCACGTGAGTGTTCCTCCCACTTAACTAATCAAGATAGCCATTTCACATTCAATTTATTTTATCAAAGTATAGCATTTATATCAGCATAAGATGTCTAAATACAACATTATTCAAACTTTTCCATTAACCTCACATTTTGAAACTTCCAATTTTTTGGAGTAATGTTCGAACATGATTGTAATTGTTAATATGATGGGATTATCCTTTAGCATCCTTTCTATTATACATTATAATAGTTGCTGATGAATGCATTCAAATCTAAATAATCAAAAGAAAACATTATCAACCAAGAACAAATGATGGTAGAAATGTCAATTTTTTTGTACTATAGACCGATCATGTAAGCTCTAAGGTTGCAGGAGATAAAGAAAGTATTAGAAAGAGAGACACTTGAGTAGCTCTTTTAATAATAACCACCACTAAATACAAAAGAATACATTTAAACAAGAGAACTTAAAATAAAACCAACATAAGATTTTGAGTAAGAATATAACCAATTCGAATGAGAGTTAAATAAGATTTGAGCGAGGTTTGAATGAGCTTTGAAAAAGCTACTACACAAACAATGATTTTGATATAACTTAGTAGATTAAAACTTCGATGCAACACCATCTCTTGTTTAGCTCTTTCAATGCCATCTTCCATAATAGCATACCCCATGGATTATACTAAGAAAATGCTTCATCGTCTTCAACCATGACAAATATCTAAGTAAAAATAGTAATGTTCTTCTTATAAATGAGCATAACATGCACATCATGAATATTTTCTCTAAGTCTACGTTCTTAAAAGCATTGCCTCTATTCAAGCAGTTATCAATTAGCCTATTACTTGTGCTCTCCTCCTCAAATTCCTCATCAAACCAAAATTCTTGAAATCTTAATCCAGTAACCAAAGCAAATTCAAATACAATGATTTTTTTGCATTTTTTTCTCCAATGTTGAACACGATATAGTAATCTTCATTCTCTTTCACATTGATTATGAATGCATTAAGACAAATAATCAAAATTATATCATCATTAATCAAAAGTAATTAATAAAAAGAGCAGGATTAAAATGCAAAATTAAAATTAATAAAAAATCTTACAACTAAAATAAAACTGAGGGGCATCTCTGCTACATACGCAAACAATAAATATAACTTTTTGTTCTACATAAAAGCGAACCACAACAGGAGCACTGCCAGTAAATGGAAGGGCCAAAATCAAATTAATCCTAAACAAACAAAATTGCAAAAACAACTTCACTCTCGCTGCTTTTCCTTCTTCTTCTTCTTGTCTTTTTTCTTGCTGGACTTCTCAGTTTCTCCGTGTTCCTCGGCTTCTTCGTTAGCATAATCATCTCCTTCAGAGTGCTTTCTTCCCTTTTTCTTCTTCTTAATTCTTAGTTCCTCATCACCATTTTGAAATTTCTGATCATCGTTCTCCAACTCAGCTTCTGATTTCTTTTTTTTCTTCTTTTTCTTCTGCTCTTCCGCTAATTCAGCACCTCCATCCTCATTGATATCTTCTACTACGGTCTTCCTCTTTTTCTTCTTCTCCGGCTCTTCTACTACCTCAGCATCCTCAATGTTATTTGCCTCGGCCTTCTTCTTTTTCTTCTTCTTCTTCTTTTCACTTGCCTCATTATCATCCTGAGCCCCTTCTGCCACCTCTTCAGCTGGCCCTGGCTCCACCTCATGCTTTCTCTTCTTAGTATGAGTTTCTTCTTCCTGTCCATTTACAGGCTTCTGTGTATTTGATTCCCCAGTCCTCCGAAGTACCACATCAGAAGATGGATTATAAGTCTGCAAAATAAAAATATAATCATATGCCTTGCTCGGTTCTCCAGCCCCATTGAATTATCTTGGTTATCAGCAAGGGCATCATACCTGATGGCAAGTGCGGCCTTCGCCGCAAGCGACCGGGATATTTTACCCTTGAGTTTTGGAGCTGCCTGACCAACTAATGAAGCATGGAAGATGAGCCCATATTTTGGTGTTGCATGTTTTGTCTTTAGGGCTCTGAACAAGGCCTGTAGATACAGGGATTGAAATCATAGATTCACAGACCCATAATAAAGGTTGTTTTAGGAAGAGAACATATTAATAAGCAATTCGTAATAACATGTAAGGTAGATCATAACATAACTGAAGAAAAAAAAATTGTCACCAAGTACATTAGAACAAATTTATTCTCTTGGCCTTAAAGCTACTAACATATGCACAACTCATTGCTGTAACCTGCTTTTCTCCTACTTACCCTTTCAAAGATAATGAACAGATCAAGATAAAACAATATTCACTAATCAGCCATATATATGTTATGAAGTTATCTACTTTCGCCAATATCAACAACTAATCATGTTAGTGAACACTAGTATGAGTGAAAAAATAATATACTTCCAAAAGCACCTCATTACATCTGGAGGAAGCGCTAGAAACAGTTTTCTAAAACAGCATAACGCAAACTAGATGGACCTTGACAAACCTAACTGATCATCTCACATAGTCCTCAAATTGATTAAAATCAGTCAAGATACATAACGGAAAAAAATAAGCAGCAAATATGCCTTCCAAATAAAACAAATATTTTGACTCACTATGTGGGGTCGGTTGCATGCATCTTTTCTCTCCAATGTCATAGTAAAAGTCAAATTATTATTTAAATCTAATAAAAAACCATTACTAATACTTTCTAACCAAGTTTTAAAGCTTACCTTTACATTTTTTTAACATAGGCCGGACATAATACATTTACTCCCCTTAACTGCATCATTGAAAGGCCGACGCTTTATCTATCCAAATCATTTAAGATGACTCTCTCTAATCTTATCTACCATTGGAATTACTCCAACCTTTTCACAAATATACTTATTTCATATTATGTCTCTAAGTATAAAGCCACTCATCCACCTAATCATCATGATTCTCTTTGAATGGCAAATATTTTGTGCCATAAAGTGTTGCAGATCTCACCATCATCTTATAGAATTTTTCCTTCAGATAGAGGGGTACCTCTCGATAGCATAACAGGGTCGATCCATTCCTCTACTTCAACCATCCAATTTGAGTTCTACTAATAATATCCGACCCATTTCACCATTGCTTCGATCAATAAACTCAAGATATCCAAAACATTCACTCTTTTTAATGCTTGATCATCTAATGTGTCCCAACCCCCCTGCGCGCGCGCGCACATACACACCTGAAAAAAAAAAAAACTATATCTATAACTATTAAAATTACCTCCATGTATTTGATTTTAGATCTACTAAAATGAAAATCTTTAGACTCTAAGGTTGACCTCAATAATTCAAATTTTCCTTCAACTCTCTCTCTAGTCTTATCAAAAAAGAAGAATATCATTAGTAAAAAGCATACTCCAATGTACATCCTCTTGCAAATGTCAAGTATGAACATCCATGACTAAAGCAAAAAAGATATGGGATTAAAGCTAATCCTTGATGTAATCCAATTGAAATAGTATAATACTTAGTCAAACCATCTTGTGTTTGAACACAAGTAATAGCTTATGCATACATATTCTTAATGGCATGAATATAAGCATTATTAATTATTTTCTTTTCTATAACTATTTAGAGAACCTCTCTTAGAACTTTATCACATGCTTTCTCTAAATCAATAAATATCATAGGTAGGTCCTCCTTACTCTCTCTATACTTCTCCATCAAACCTCTCAACAAACATATAGCTTCCATAGTAGACCTACCTGACATAGATAATGATTTTGAGAAACATTAGTATCACATCGTAACCTATTCTCAATTACTCTCTCCCATAATTTTAATGTATAACACATAAACTTAGTTCTACTACAATTTACACACTGTTATGAATCACCTTTATTTTTAAAAAATAGGAATCAAAACACTCCACTCATCTGGCATCTTTTTAGTCTTCAAAATAATGTTAAAAAGTTTAATTTGCACACTCTTGTCCATGCTTCTAAGTGATAAGATGATCCTCTTTTTCTTAACTAATATCTTAGCAATTACAAAATCATAACTAAAGCAAATTTTAATATAATCCTACCACCTTCATCAATCATTCCAAACTAATAGCTATCATGAATGTTTCTAAAATCTTTTATCACTCTAAAAGCACATATTTAAATCTACTCCAATAAAAAGTCTTTTTTCAAGAGGTAAACTCTTCTTAAATCATTTTAAAATTTTAATTTTGAACACAAATCCAAACTTATTTGAGGAGCATAAGCACCTATCACATTAATAATCTTAGCATTAACAAAAATCTTTAAAGATATAAATCTATCCACAATTCTATTAATTTTTACAACATTATCTTTCACTCTTATCTATAACCATGCCTAAATCATTTCTAGTATGACTACTACAAAAATATCATAGTTTAAATTAAAGCTATCAATCTTCTTAGCCTTTTCTCCAACCCATTTAGTTTCTTAAATGCATTGAATATTTATCTTCCTATGAATCAGGACATCTATTAATTCTCTTAATTTGCTTGTAAGATAACATATATTCTAATTTTATAACTTAATTCTAGCTTCATAGACTAGCTTCTTCGCTCACATCCATTCATGATGTAAAAATCATTACTTATTAACAATGCACCATGGCACCGTTGTAGCGGCTCTTGCATAATTTTTGTTGTAATCAAGCCATATAGTACATCACTTATAAAGAATGCAATATCATTAACACATTGCATTAAAGGATTCATGTTGTGATTATTTTATAAGTTTGCATTGGTTGTTAAGGCAAAACAAAATCATATAGATCTTTGAACCAAACATGAAAGGTGGCAAAGATCAGGAATCTGAAATTACAAACTTACAATGCCAGCTAAGGGGTTTTCTAGATCAATATTATTTAGATAACATCATTCAGATAATAATGGTATCTAAAAAATGCAATTGTTTTGGTTCAGTATTATCATAATTAACAATGTCATGTTATCCACAAATATCAAAAGTGATATTGATATTTCTTTATTTAGTAATTTATTTCTGCCCTTAAATATCCTAATATCAAGATGTCCAGAGATTTTTCTGACCTATTGATGTCATCAAAAATAGGATGTGAATATCATTCTGAAATTACTATTAAAAATATGAAGCAACTAGCATAGGCTGATAAAATCACAAATGCTAGTGAACCAAAAACCCACTAAATAGGAAAATTTTCCCGCAAGGAATTCCTTAAAAAAATTGTGATTAACATGATTTTAGATTGAGATTTGTACTACATTGATGGAGCACATGTCTCTATATATAAAATCATTCCTGATAACCATTTAATGGTGTTTAATACTCCCTCGCAAAAGTTTTATAAGGAATGTCTCATAGGTATTGTGCCCCCTATTTTCTAGTAGCCAACCGTAGAACTAAACTATTACACTAGGGGAAAAACCATAGTCATAAACTAAACAAATAAAACAAATACAAATACTAGAAAAAAAAGACAATGACATGAGTGGGATTAGACAAATTCATATTAATTATACAAGTATTGTGCAAGGAAACCATTAAAATAATAAGGCTATAAAGACTGACGCAACCAGAGAAATGAGAAAAAAAGTTAACAGTCCGCAAGGATAGAGTAAAGATGTTGACCTTCTCTGCACCTAAAACCTGAACAGTACTCCCAGGTTGCTTTGCTAAATTCAATAAGCTGCCACCATGAGCAATGAGGCGAGCTCCAACAAGCTCCCCAACAAGGGCAGTCAAATTTGGAGCAATAGTATTCATTCTACTTCTAAGATAATCATACAATTGTCCCCTATATTCTGAAAGAGACAAAACTTGGTCACATAGTTCTCTTATATTTGCCAGGTCCAGATCATTAACTTCAGTGCCCATGGATATGACAGCTGCTTCTTTTAACTCTGCCTCGACTTCTTCTGGTAAAACCTGTTTAAACCAAGCAAATAAGAAAGCATTGCCAGTATAAATAACCAAAAAGTTGGAATAGCTCACTAGTAGAACAAAAACAGTACAATATTACTGATAGGGATACTTGTATCAAGAGTTCAAATCTAGTTCCTCGCACAAGAAAAATTAGCACAACATTTGAAGCATGCCAAGACATGAAAACAAACCTCAGAAAAATCAAGGTTCACTGCATTTGCACGGTTTCCCATTAGCTTAACTGCTTTAGCATACTGGATATTATCTTGTACAATCTTAGCAAGCTCAGGGAAATGCCAACCGTACCATTCGCGGACTCTCATGGCATAGGTATTTAACTCTTTGTCAAGTTCATCCAGCAAACCTATTGCTTGAATAATCATTGTATCAACCTTAAAAAGTTAAAAAGGCATGGATCAGATGGGTGATAAAGATTACTAAATAATCAATTTAATGAATGAAAAAGGGGGGAGAGTATTGAGGTAAATTGAAGCGCTGATAGAGATGTAAATAAATAACAATTTAATGTGATGTACTTAAATCAACCAAAGAAAATATAATAAAGTAATATATAAGACATTGTGATCCACACTAACAAATAAAATACAATCAAAATGGATAAAATGAAATTGAAAAAAAAAAACAGAAATATCCAATAAGGAGAATCAGAAAGTGGCGAGCAATCACCTTATCAGGGCTGAACTTCAGTTTGTATCTAGAAAGGCTGTGTGACAGGCCCAAGCTCATTGGAGCAAGATCCTGCACGCCAAGCCCAGATATGAGCTCCGTTAACTGACTTCTTAATCCCCTCATTAGCTCCATTACAGCATTGTTGTGGACACAATCAATTTTCTGGCATGAATAAAAATATGGCATAAATTATTAAATATTAACCATGCAAAAATTACTAAATCTCAATGAGTAGCCATATGTAAAAAGATTTGCCAAACCAGTTTCTCTTTAATAGCGTTTCCTAGTTTGGAATCGCCAACTCCAAGGGTCTCACCCTCACAATGAGCACGCAAAAACTTGCGAAGACCCTTGCTTGGCTTGCTATCTATCAGTAAGGTGGCTGCAGTCAGGGCTTCCGCTGTATTCTCAAATTTGCTGAAAGCTTTCAGCTTAACAACCTAATGAAGTTGGAAACAGATTCACGTCAAACAGGATTCAAGTCACTAGAAATGATAAATTAAACATAGATTTTTAGATGTCGTAGCTAAGAAAGTCATTAGGGCGAATGATCAGCACATGTGGCGATTTGCAAGGAATCTAAAAGACAAATCACCTGTCTGGCTGATTCAGAGCTCTCAAAATCCTTCCAAAAATCCTAAAAATGATTTTAAAATTTAAAAAAAAAAAAATCAAATTAGCACAATAGCTGGTGTGAAAATAATTAAGAAAAAAAATGAAAAAAAAAACAGCATGATTCACCTCTGCTCTGGATAATTTCCCTTCATCCAATACTTTGAAGAGGGCAAAACCCGCCGGAGTCTCGAATAGGACCAACATCTGCAACTAAAGCCGTCGTAATCACAAAATAAAATGTAAAATCCGGTATATCCTTGTAAATCCAAATCCCGTTTCTACTCGGATTAACGGGATTTCGCCGAAGAAGCGCGCGAAAGGGAGAAAGTTACCTTCACAGCGAGCGAGCGAGCTCCCGTCGTTGCTTCAGATCAAAATGTTGTAACGTCCGATCCGACAGTAAGGAAAAGTCGTCGAAGGAGCGAAGTCGAACAGCAACGAAGGAGCCGAAGAAGCGACTCGTGCAATCTCCACACCTCCTGCGAAGCAACGAAGCCGACAGCAAGGACGCTAAACCCTAATTAAAAGCAAACCCTAGACGCCTCAGCCATTATTGGTTAACTTAATTAATATAATTTAAAATTTAAGCACGAATTGAAGGGAATATGGCAAACGAAGATAAGAAAATAGGAGAGCTGCCGGTTTCAGTATTACCTGTCACAGGGCGACGTATTTCATCGAAGCGATTTAGCGCAGACCCGCGTAAGAAGGGAGGCTGAAGGGGTACAGCGTTAGGGCTTTGGGGTTTGGAGGAGGTTTTAAGAGGCGAAGGAGCGGGAGGTGAGTGGTGCTTTACGATTGTAGAAAAAACATGATCGCGCCGATTGATGAGATTAGAAAGATCTGAGCCGTTGGATGTACAATAAGGAGTATGGTAGTATTAGCCATTGGATCATAATTGGGTGTGAATAAGGCTTTGTTTGGGACAATTCTTTTACTACTTTTTAAATCATATTTTTAGTATAAAATTTTGGGATGGCTTTCTTATTGCTTCTTAAAGTAACTTTTTAATAAAAAAATTTAATTTTTATACTAAGAAACTTCTTTAAGAAGAAGTAAAAAAGTTGTCACAAACGAAACATAAACACTACATTAAAAGTTTTATTTTATATATATGATAGGTCATCAAAAATTAAACTCACAATACATATTTCAGCTAAAAACATTTTAGAGTTAAATTTAAGACATTTCAAAATCTCATTTAAACAAACTTATAATTAAACTTGATGTCCGATCATCGTTATTGGACCGCCGCCACCTAACTACAATCCTTAGGCCACTTTCATCATCATACTATCAACGTCAAAGTATTTGTCACCTTATCATCATTATTGGATCGTCACCATCTAACCAACATCACTACACTACCATCATTAAACCACCGCAATCCAATCATTGTGCCTATCATCACATATCAACTCAAATATATTTTATAATTGTTCCTCATACTCTTGTAATATTGTCGTCTCTAAATTCAGGGAATGACAAACCATGTGTAATTACTCACATAACGAAATCATTTCAGTTTAGCAATATCGTGTGGTATTTCCCCTTTCAGAGTTTTTCACGCAAATATTTTAGAGTCATCTAAACTTTTTTATTTATTTGTTTGTATGTTGAAACCTTGTACAAGACTAGTTTGCAAGGCTCTCTTGCTGTACAACCATTAATTTACAAGCCACACTAATATATATAACAAAATGCAAAAAAAACTTGATCATAGATTATTTCATGAGGTAATAAAAAGTTGTCGATGCTAATGAAAGATAGTATGAGTTGGTTGTCGATGTCAAGAAAGGTAACGGTGTAGCCCTCAAATTTATCCTAATTTTTGAAATGATAATTATCATACAAATGACAAGTAATTATGGAAATTATTAAATTTCAACATGTTTCAACTTCTAAAATAACTATTCATTGGAAAAATCTCTCGAAAACTACTTTTAGAAAACAATGATTCACTCTGATAACATTTGACCATTGTGAATGCTCTCATAAGAATTATGAAAATCGATCAAAGCATGAAGACATTATGAATTCTTTGACGGAAAATATTGTACGCAAAGGATAAGGAAGGTGTATGTAATAAACATAAATTAATTTGGTTATTCATGGATAATGACTTTCTTTATATTAGATTTACTCTTATAATTAATTGATCTTCAATTCTTATTCTAGAAACAAAAATTACTATAAATACTCTTTCTTGGACTTTTTTTTTCTTAGGTGTCCTCTACATCAAGGATTTTCTACAATATTTGCACAAAATCAATTCACAGGTGGAGAAGTCTATAGACCAAACAACATTTCGAAACAACCTCACTTTCTAGTTTTTTCACAACAATGACAACTCCTCTAAATATTCTTCTTAAGCGCACTTAGACAATTACAAGAGCTGATAAAACAAATCAAAATTATAAAGAAAAATGTGTCCATACACAATGATATTTCTTACCATGAAGAAGCTAAACACGTAGCAATCAAACATATTGTCTTTCTCATTTAAATCTAAAAATATCCTTAGACTATTTTGTAAGATAACATTTGTTGGTTGAAGTCAAATAGGATCTATGGGACATTTATGAGCTTTTGAATAGGATATGTGCTGAAACTCAACCTTATTACTTATTATTGTCAGGCTAAAGCTAGAAAATAAGTGAGGGAAACTAATGAGAATTGAGAGTTATTTAAAAGCTATAATGTCTCTGTAAGTAAATCCTACAACATAAGTGGAACATGATCCTCTAAAATATGCTCATTCACTCCTTATTTATAGGGTTTAGGAGGGTTATAGAAAAGGCTGCACCTATAATTAATAAAAGCATAATACATAATCTAACCAATGTAGACTAACACAGACATATGGACGAACTAGCTAGAAGATGTATACTTGATGCCTATCTCTATAGTAGTCCCCTCAAATTAGGTCAGTGCATTCGGCAGGTGTTATAGGCAATACTTTAGGATTTGACATGTAGGGCAAGCCTCTAGGAATAAGAGGCATGTCCTGAGGTGTCACATCCCAATATTTGATTAGAAAGAATTTTTCTTATGTACATATTTTTCTTTAATATTTACATACAAAGAGTATCTTTATATGATCAAATAAAATAATAAATTATAGGATCAATGTTCTTTCATTCACTTTCCTGGATAAAATCAAGAGAGTTATACACAACACTCATTGTCTAGTCTCTTTTTCTACCCAATCATATATAATCGTCATGATAGTCAAAATAATGAGATTATGAAATAAACATACATAATATAGGTTTCAATGGGTGTCAGTAGCATCTACTCAATTGGAACATTTTCATTTTCTAAAATAACATGTTCAAGTAAAGTAAGAGTGATAACACTTGCTTGGTATGTTATTCGAAATAAACTTTAAAATTCAATATACGCATAAAATAACTTACACATCAATATAATATGGTATGAATATTAAAATATGTTCATAATGAACTAACATGATATTTATTTTGTGTCTTGTAACTATCAACTATATGTTAATATGAAAATAGTGTCGACAATATGCACACATTAGAAATAGTAACATAAGCATTCATATGAAGTCTAAGGTGAAATAACATGAAAGAAAATTATACTTAATGTTTCATTTTAAACATTTCACAATTTTCCCCTTTGCCTCATTATGCATCCACTTCCACTAATACATGCACTAGTTCACATTCCTCCTTCACTTCATTATACCTCCAATTCCACTTATACCTCTGTTTTTTCATATCATATATGTTCAAATATATGAAAAAAACATATGAGCATTTTGTATAGGTGCACAAGCCCTTATATATCCACTTAATGCAACTAAAATATCCAGCACTAGTCGCAAGCCCTTATATATCCACTTTAATACACATAAAATATCCAACACCAGCCACAAATTTTTATATCTCCACTTGAACGCACATATAACCATCAATACTTTCAACATGTACAAATATGACTACTTTTACTATGAACTTAAAAACAATCATTATTTTTAACATGCATAAACAACATACGTCACTTCATAGAATTATATGGCATGCACATAAAGTATCAATAATGACATACCAACAATTTCTCCTTCTTAAAGAATTATATGGAATGTGCATAATGTATAAATAATGACATACATACAATATCTCCATCTTCTTATTTTCACACATTTTCAGTCACATGAGCATATGAATGTTAGTGCATTCAACATGTCTAAAAAAAAATATGATATATCATAGAGTTTAGCGCTGCTGTATAAGTGGTCTCGTATGAGTATTTTTCCCAAGAGCTTAGCGTTGCAGTATAAGTTTTTCATTATATAGCACTCAAAATGTGAATGCAGCGGCACTTCAATACCTAGCGCTACGGTGCTAGATTAATTTTTGGCACATCAAATTTTTTTTAGAAATTTAATCATAATTTTGATCAATATTAAATATAGGCATACAATAAATGCAAAATATTTCTAAACATCAAAATATGAAACATGAAAATTAAAACAATTGACACAACATACGTGAACACAAGATGGGTTATCTCCTAAATAGTTTTAAGTTTTTATTCTTCAAGCAAACATGCATATATTTATCAAATTGGCTGGAGTACATCACTACCACTCATCAAGCGGTTTCCACTAGAATATTTTTCATTCTTCTTAGGATTAACTTTAGTATTACTAGACAATGATCCATTATATTTACTACTAAATGAGATTGTAAGCTATCCTAATCGAGTTTACAATTTTTTAATAGAAGAAACTTGACTTTGCAATTGAGTTTCTAATAGAATCACTATCTCTTCCATAGAATCACTATCTCTTCCAAAGGTGGCTTTCTATTTTCAAGCTGATTATTTTGATTAAATCTACGAGGATAATAAGGTCTAGAAATAATAACATGTTGTTGATGATTGTTCTAATTTCTACCTTGATTATTTTAACTAGAATTCCATTGAATCTTATCACTAACATTATTATTGGATCAATTAAAATTAGGATGATTCCTCCAACTTGGATTATAGCTATTGGAATAGGGATTATTTTATCTTCCGATTAAATTCTCATTTTCAATCCCTTGCACACTATTATCTTCATTATAATTCAAATATTGATCTTCCAAATACATAGACGATCCATATCCTAATCCTGAATTTACTCATACTATATTTAGTTTCTTAGAATTTGTTATAACTTGTATAATTAAAATCGACGAAGCATATGATTTATAGACTCCGACTATTGATTTATTGTATCAGTAGGTCTTGAAAATTATTAGTTGTGATTTCATCTATTAATTCATATGCTTCCTCAAAGGGTTTAAACATTAAAGATCCTCCAGTTGAAGCATCTATAATTGATTTTAGAGATCCTACCAATCTACTATAAAAAGTTTGAATAACTAACCAATTGGGTAAGACATGGTCATGGTATTTCCTAAGCATTTCTTTAAATCTCTCACAACTTTCATAAATTGATTTTTCATCAAACTAAGCAAAATATGTGATATCATTTCTAAGTTTGACAATTTTTGGAGTGAAAATATTTAGTTAGAATTTTATGAGCCAACTCATTCCAAGTGGTTATAGAGCATGGAAGTAAAAAATTCAATCACATATTAGCCTTGTCCCTTAGAGAAAATAAAATAATCTAAGCCTAATAGCATCATTATTAACATCATTATACTTAAATGTTATACATATTTTTAAAAATTGGCTAAATATTAATTTAGATCTTTAACATAAGTTATTCCAAACTGGGAATTTTAAACCATCTGAATTATTATAGGTTTTAATTCAAAATTTTTAGCATGCATAGTAGGCCTATTAATACTCTAATGGATTTCAACTTTTACAAGCTTAGCACTTGGTTTTTGATACTGTCTTGATAGATTTTTTGTTATATAGGATGCCTAATAAAGACTTTCCTATGGATTTAATTACTTGAATTAAAGGGCGTATTGAGGGTACTTTTTTCTCTGTTGTTATAAATTGTTCTTTTAATGGGTTTTCAACTCTTCTTCTGATCTTCGTCAAGGTTGTCCTCTTTTGCCTTAATTATTTTGCATTGTTATAGATTCCTTATCTAACTTTTTAGATGATAAGTCTAATGATGTGAATTTTAAGAGAATTAATACTGGTGATTCATTTTCTTTATGCTTATGATGTCCTTATTATTGGGGAAGCCTCTATTCTTAATGATGAAAGGCTTAGGGATATTTTGAAGTATTTTGCTTATTGTTATGAAAATTATGGCTTTTTTTCAAATAATTGTCTTGTGGCTAGGAATATTAGTGAGATATTGAATATTGACATTACTCATTATACTATAAAGTATCTAGGGCTTCCTATTTCTTATAAAGGCTTACTTCTTATGTAAATTATTGAGCTTCTTGCTGGTTGGAAAGCTAAAATCCTTTCTTTTATAGGGAGATGTCAATTTCTTAAGTTTACTATTCATAACATTGTCTCTTATTGGATAATGTGACTCATTCTTCCCAGGTTCTATTTCAAATTTATTAGGAACGTTTGTTCTAATTTTCTATTTTTTGAGGATGCAACAACTAGAAATATTCATATTATAGCTTGGAAAGATATTTATAGCCAAAGAATGTTTGGGGTCTAGGTATTCCTGATCCTAATGCTTTATGTTTTGCTTTTATTTCTTCTATTATTATGTGTATTTTAAATGGTTCTTACCTTTTGGCTGGTTGGCCTAAGCACAAGTATATTTCTCTTTGAAAGCCTTCTCCTAAAAAAACATATATTTTTTAGAAATTTATTTGATCTATTGACTAGACTTTAAAAAGTAATGTCTCTTTCGTTATTTATCCTAATAGCTCCCTCTTTTTTGGGATCCTTGGTGTGGGGGAAGAGCACTTAATGAGTTGATTGATTATAATTCTAGTTCTTCTTTTAGAAATGCTTTTGTGGGTGATTTGATTATTTCCGGGTGCTAGTATTTCCCATATTTTTTTACAACAAAGGTCTCTTTGGCTGTTTCTTTTATTTCCATTTCTAATTAGGCGACTTCCTATATCTCTTGGAGCGGGGTGCCTCACCCTTCGTTTAAGATGTTTCATGCAGCCTTTTATGATGATTTGACATAAAAAGGTTTGTTATGAGGTTTTCTTATTTTGCTTGTATGAACTTATTGAAAGATTTGAAAACAACTGATATTCTTTCTTAAAGGAATATGAATGTGCCTCTTACTTGTATCTTATGTGCTAAAACAAAGAAGAATCATAATCACCTTTTCTTTGAAGGTGACTTATCCTTTTGCATTGTTTCTGATTTGGTGTCAAGATTGGATAATTTCTTCTTAGGCCTGCTCTAATTCAGGTTTTTGATTTTATTCAAGCTTCTAACTTGGAGAAGAAATCAAAAAAATTATTATTTCTTGCTACTTCATGTACCATATATTTTTTATGGAGAGAAAGGAATAATAGAAGATTTGTTGGTAAGAATAATTATTCTATTATGGTGGACAACCTTGCAAAAAATACTATTTTGGAAAAAATTGCATCTTGGAAATCTTTCCATGTTATTAAGCATTTGGTTACTCGAGTCTTTGCTTTGGAGGAGTTGGACAAGTTCTGTTTCTGTATTGACGTCTTTTCTTTTTTCTGGTTGTATGTATTTGTTTGAGTTTGGGTTATATTTGGCCTTTTTAAGATGATTTTTTATTGGTTTATAATTTTTTGTCTTCTATTTGGTTGGCTTTATTTGACAGATTTTGCAGTTGTTGATTTTTTGAAGGCTAGGTTTAGGGGTGGTGATGATTTGGTTAATCCGTATGTGTCCCTTGGAAGGTTGGGCCGACATCCTGGATATAACCTTGGAAGGTCGTTTGTAGCAACCGAGGGATTTGTCCCTTTTTATTTGAGTTTGTTGGGAGGTTGGATTAGCTTTCGGCTATTGTTATGGGCAGTTTTATGTTGATTGTTAAATGGGTTTGACCCTCTTTTGAAGTTTTTTTTTTAATGCTAAGAGGGCATCACTTCCAATACGAGTCCTTGCGATTGGGTTTTTTTATCTTCTATCTTGAGTTTTTTAATCACTGCTTATTTTTTGTTGCATGAGTTGTATTATTGTGATTATGTTGATCTACTTGAAGATGGTTCGATCACTGGATAAAGAGTTGTTTGCTGGATGTAACAGTCAGTATGAGGCCCTCTTCTGGTGCCTGTGTTGAAGATGTTCGTGGATGGGGTTTGGTTATCATCTTGGATTGATAAGATTTCTACCTTTAAACTCTTGTTCTAGGCGGACTTCTCTTGTGTATTCTATGGGTTTGATTCTCTTCTGGGGTATTTATTTGTTGCTTAGTAGGAAATTTTTCTCATTCTAATGGTATCTTTCTTTTTAGATGACAATTTAATTTTATTACATAAGTGGTAAGTTTTTCTTTTATTGTCTTATATTTGTGTTGCATTATAATTTATATCCCTTATATATTTTTTATTATTTAATGAAGTTGGTCATGATCGATCCTAATTAAAAAAAAAATATCGCTACACGCAACTTTTTATTTGATCAGAACCAGGCGGACCTAAGTAGTTGAGAGAATAGTATGTGTGAATGCCGATCGCAATTTATCGTCCGGAGACTAACCAGAATACACCACATCAGTAGTACCGAGCCAAATACCAAGGGCGATAACGAGCCTTATACCGAGTAGTAGGCCAACGGCTTAATTTGGAATTACTTTTTTTTTTTACTTCTTAAAATAACTTTTTAATATAAAAAATTTAATTTTTTAATAAAATTTTTTATGAAACAATAAAAAAATAGTCCCAAAAATCTGACTCATTTTGGTTGGGCGTTCTCACAGAATAATTTCGCTACGTGGTGACAGTTCACCACACCAATGCTCTCGCTTCACCACGCACCTGCGCCACTGTACGCCGTGCATGCGATTCGTCTAAGTTTTCCTTTTTCTTTGACCCGAAACCTAGCGAGCGGCAACGCTCACCGACGTGCAAAAGAATTGCACTGAGAAGACAAAGGGAGAGACAGACAGATGGGGAGATAGTTATTGTAACTCTGTTTCACTCGGGCACCGGCTAAAGGAAGAAGAGAGGGGAAGATATGACAGGTAAAAGGTTCAAGAAAGCGAGAGGCAAGCAGCCTGAGAATCAGGCCTTTCTTAACGAATCCTCGCGAGTTCGAGTTGGGAAAATCCTCGAAGACTTCCGCGAATCCGATGGAGAAGGTTATCAAGTCATCTGACACTCTATTTTGAAGCAGCCGTTCTGCGGCTGCTTATCATTTTAATGTTTAGGTTTCAATTATTTTTTTTTTTGGCAATGTGAGAAATTGCTCTTTGGGTTTTTTGAGCCGACAAATTCATAAAATTACCTCCAATGCTATTACTTTTCAAGAACTGTTTTCGTTTACGTGTCTGTATGGAAGCCATTAGCTATTTGTAACGGCTTGTGCGTCTTAGAACCTTGAATGTGATCTTTAGGGGCTGTTTGAGAACAAGTAGGATTTAACTTTAGTAAGATTTAGCAAGTCCTCTAAATCCGGATTTAGAAATCCCCGGTAAGTTAAATCCTGAAAAACTGTTTGGCAAGAAAGTTGTTATAAATCTTATGAAACTGTTTGACACTGTTGTGCAGGATTTAAGATGATTGGTTCATTTAAAAATTAATTTTTGACGTGTTCTGAATTTAATTTATGTGTTAAATAGGATTTTCTAATTAATTTCAATTTTAATTATCATGAATAATTTATAATGATAAATAACATAATTAGAAGTTTGCTTGATTATCAAATAATTTAATTATTAATTATAGTACTAATTATCAAACTATTTATTTTGGTGTTAATTTAATAAGTATTTGATATTTAATTATATTGATAATTACCTAATTAATTAGTTAATTGTTTTTTAGGAGTACATGAAGTGATTGGGATTTATTTGTTACGTGGATTAATTTTCGATTATAAATGGACCTAATAACAGGAAGTTGTGAATAAACTGGTGTGGGGTTGGCTGATTGCCTCTAGTAAAGATGGAATTTTCTGCTTGCATAATTGAAATCTTAAAACTGGTTTGCTGATTGGTTTCAGGCGAGTAGAAACCCGTACTAAAAAAGTACTTATTTTGGTATTTGCTTTTGTTATTTAGTTGGCCAAAAAAGTGGAAAGGCAATTCAAGTGAGGAATTGATACAGGAGGATTATTCTACCGACTTGGAACTATTTTGTCCAAATGTGTGTTGGATTGAGTAAATATGCTATCCTTATATTATTTGTACAGTTACCTATTTTGAAAGCACAATGAATAAAACTTCATAGAATTGACTTATGTGGTTTCTACTTCTAGATTTGAGAGTTGCCTTTTTTCTATTAATTTTTGGGGTACTGAACATTACTATAAATCTGGGAAAATTTTTTAATCAGCATGACAAGCATGACCGACTTGCCTATTTAGCTTTAATTGATTGGGCAACATAGTATAAACTTCATTTTTCAATTTTGATATATGGATAAGTTGTATTTTGATTTTAAATTTAAGACAATATTTTTTTTTGTGGAGTTTATTTCTGACTAGATAAGAACTTGTAACTTCCCATTGGGTTCAATGACTACCTATTAGTGGTGAGTCAAAGTCAAGGTCAGTTGGACTTGGATGTCATCAAGCATGTTTTGACTCTCTACTTATATAAAATTAAGGTTGAGATTGTTAAATTTGAGAAAATAATAATAATGAGGCTTTCCCCAAGAGAAGATAATTACTTGATATTTATGTTGACAAAACATGGAAATCCACATGCCATGTTAATCAGACAGCTGACCATTCTTGTTTTGAACGAGTCCAGGTCTATGTTGATTGATCAACTTAGGCTTTGTTTGGGACGACTTTCTTACTGCTTCTTAAAGAAGTTTTTTAGTACAAAAATTTAAATTTTTTTACTAGAAAGTTGTTTTAAGAAGTAGTTAAAAAGCCATCCCAAACGAAGCCTTAGTTTCAAATATAAGCTAGTCATTGACTTCTTGATAATTGGAAAGTTGCCAAACAACATAAGTGAAAGTAAATTAGGCAAAATTCAAAAAAGTACTATTTTAGATGGTGTGATATTTATAAAAGTCTTACTCATGAGTCAACTCAGATGTCATAGTAATAATGGTAGAGTGTGACAATTACTTAACACGACAAATTGCACAAAGAGAAGCCGAGCATATGTACTATTGTCCAACCTTAAAGCAAAATGCTTAGCAGTTATTAAGATATGTAGAAGTTGCCAATTTCAAATCTCAACTTAATTCCATCAGATCATACAAAAGCATAAAATTTGCTCATAATCACTAGAGTTGGTCAAAGTTGATATTAGAAAGTTCAAGAGTTAGAAAATGGGAATTGCCTCCAATTTAAGAGTCGTTCTAACAAGCAATTGGCTCCCCTTTACCATAGCGTAAAATGGGATACCTATTGATATTTTTATGTTCATAGTCAGGCTACATAACTTGATTATTATTACCAAGGATTTTTTATGGTGATGTTCAGTTGAAATTTTATTACTAGAGACTAAGTGACTCTAAATTATTGAGGATTATTCATGCATTTCTAAGTTAAACTCAAGAATCGAATGGATATCCTTATAACCTCAATAAGAATAAGGTTGAGGCGAAAATGGTCTATTTATATTATTTTTTAGCTAATGCTTTGTGTTTGAATGATCCTTTGATTGAATTTATTTAGCCATGCTAAGGGGTTAAATGATTTTTCTCTTTGGTTTAATGAGCAAAGCCTATGACACAAACTTGACTTAAGGTGAGCAATTAAAGCCAAAAGGTTATGCACTTGAGTTGGATGTTTACTAACCAAGCCTACATGCAATAAAGCTCAACTTTAGATGTCTGAGCAAACTTGAAAGACCATAAAACAGAAGAGATTTGAGATCCAGGGTTTGTTCTTTTGGGCTCTAGGCTTTGCTAGAGATTTGTAGAGTTGTTTTTTCCTCTTAATTGAAGAAACTTGTATCTTGTATTGTTTTTCTTGTTCGTGGATTGAATAGAAGAAGTTTCCTTGTGTTTTCTCTCCAATTTTCAGAAATTTCTGCATCATTATTGCTGATTTTCTCTGAAATCAGCATATTTCTGTGTTATTGATGGCTATTTCCTATCACATTCATCCATGATGTGGGAACACTTATTTAACACTACATTGGGGCAATGGTGTAGCAGCCCCTGAGCACTTTGCGCTGTATTCGATATTGACAATTAGATAAATTAATAGCCCACAACCTTATTTGTAAAGAAGCCATCCACATAAAGAGGAGAGGTTAAGGAGGTCGACAACGTCAGAACTCTCCACCTCCATCAATGAAGACTACCACCACCTTAGCTTCAACCTCTACCGCAGCCCATACCTTTTTAGGTGGTAAGTGCAAAGATTTTGTTGGCATCAATTTCAATGGTGCAAGTTTAATATTCAACTCAAGGATGAAATCGGGACATGACACTTGAGTGTGGATGAAGATGATAAGCTTAAGGAGTATTCGAGAGGAGACCATGAGATTCAAGAATTAGTAGATAAATGTGATAACAATATTCTTGAAGATCTTCAACTCGGATCTAATAATAAAAAGTTTTGATCTAAATCTCAGCCACTCCATCCACAAATGGATCATGTTCTAAGGATTAAGAGAGGAGTTTAAGTAATTTATGTCATTAATAACTTCATAGCTCTAAAGGTGATGTCCGCTGAATAGAAAACACTCTTCAACTCTATTACGAAGTATTGCATGTATGTAGGTAAGGAAATCACCTAAATTTCTAAAAGCAACCAAAATTCTTCAAGAGAAAGAAGAGTTGACTAATGAAAGCCAAGTTGAACTGTCCACGCAAGATAGTCGGACAAACCCGAGCATCAACTTTAAGGAGATCAACTCCCAAGCTTTAGTTGAAAGCATTGCACAAGGGATTCTTGTTCTCCTCCAATTGGTTTAAGATAATTGTTGATCCAACTATGTGAACCAAAACTTTAGGAGAGTTCTAAGGCCCGTAAGCTTTGCTTGAAAAATATATATGACTTGGCATATATAGCCTTTCATCTTAACTCAACATCCCAAGATGATTTTTATGGTCCATATGCTATGATTAGCAGATGGCTATTCAAGATAATCTTAACCCTAGCAAGAAGAGAGTAATTAAAGCAAAAAGACAATTACTAGTTCCCTAAACATCCCTTAATTTCAAATTTTCCCTCCAACCCATCACTAATTAGTGTGTGGGCCCCATCACACCAGCAGCCTCCCTCTTCTCTCTCTTTTTCCCTGGTTCTTCCCCACCCTTGGCCCGCCTTTGATACACTTGAACTGGCCCTCCTTGGGCCGGCCTAACATTACCTCCCTCCCAAAGACTCACATTGTTCTCAAGGTGAAATGAAGGGAACTGATGCTTCACCCTCTCGTACGCTTCCCAAGTGGCGTCGAAGTCTGGAAGGCCCCTCCATTTAATCAACACTTTTTTATTCCCCCCTTTATCTGATCTCACCCCCTTTAGCTCCAATGATTCTATGATCGCTTCTAACTCCTATGTCAGTGTTGCCGGTAGCTCTGTATTGACTATCTGCTCCCCTAGAGCTTTCCTCAACTAGGACACTTGGAATATTGGGTATATGGTGGTAGTCAGGGTAATTCAACCGATATGCCATAGTTCCAATCCTTTCTACTACCTCGTAGGGCCCGAAGTACCTTGGGGCCAATTTCTCATTCCTCCTCTAGGCTATTGTCTTTTGTTTATATGGTTGCAGTTTCAAGAACATCGTCTCACCTACTTCAAAATGGATGTCCCTCCTATGTGTATCTGTCTGCTTCTCCATTATCTGCTGTGTCCTCAACAAGTGTCTCTTTAATTATTCTAGCACAGTATCCCTTTCCTTGAAGTACTGCTCCACTGACGAAATTGGTGTGCTTCCTTGCCCAAAATGCACCAAGTTTGGGGGTCCCTTCCATACATCACCTTCAAAGGAGTCATCTGAGAAGCGGAGTGGTACGATGTATTGTACCAGTATTTGGCCCATGTTAACCACTTGGCTCACATCCTTAGTGTTTTCGAAGCAAAACACCTTAAGCAAGTCTCCAAGCTCCTGTTGACTACCTTCGTTTGCCAGTCGTCTGGGGGTGGTAGGAAGTGCTTCTCTTAAGAATTGTACCATGCAACCTGAACAACTCCCTTCAAAATTGGTTGAGGAATACCTTAT